AAAAAAAAAAAACAATTTTTTTTTTTTGAGGAAGATTGGCCTTGTGCTAACATCTGTTGCCAGTCTTCCCCTTTTTTCTTTTTTCTCCCCAAAGCCCCAGCACATAGTTGTGTAGCTTAGTTGTAGAGTTGTAGCTCTTCTATATGGGACGCCGCCTCAGCATGGCTTGATGAGCGGTGAGTAGGTCTGCGCCCAGGATCCAAACTGGTGAATCCTAGGCCGCTGAAGTGGGACTCGCGAACTTAACTGCCACGCCACCGGTCGAACCCCCTTTATTGCTCTCCTTAATGAAACTTAATGAAATTTGCCACACTCAGAAATTCAGACAGGGCTGTCAACATAATGAGTCCAGGATAACATACTTTTTCTTGCCTTTGTGAGTTTGCATGATTTTGAATGAATTTTTTCCTTATTAATTTCAGCAGCACGGTCAGCAGTCTCCATTCAAGAGTTGACTCATTAGAAAAGTCAAATACTAAGCTGATTGAAGAGGTATTGTCACCCAGCCATGGATAATTGTCTGTTACTTACCTAGTATTTGTGATCTTTTTCCATTTTAAGTATGAATGCATTAAACACACACAGATACACACACACACACATTTTCATCATTATGATGGAGCGCTTGTAATATAGTTGTAATGATGATTATCAGTTTTAGAGAAACCACATATTCTCAGGCAAATTCTTAGGTGAATCTGTGAGTCGTTTGAGATACTCAACTTCTAAATGAGCCCCAAAGATGAAAATCATACAAACTCTTGTATATAGAAGCTGTGATTCTCATTTTTAAATCTGGCTGACTTGTGTTTAGATAGTGGAATCACCTGTAGTTAGAAATTCCTGTTAAAATGATACTGTTGTTCTTGTTCTACTGTTCAGATTACTTTTCTTCACAAGTGTCACTGCATGATTATGTCCATCCTTTCTCCACAATCCCATGTGTAAAACTCATCCCATGTGCTCTGGTTTCCTGCATTGTCAAAGTGGCTATCTGGTGGTCCCAGAACCAGAAATTTATCTCAGCTCTTTTTTTAATACTATTGGTAAAGTTGCTTTTCAGATGAATTTTTCAAAAAATCTATCAAACCACAGAATTATTGCTTTCTATTTTCAGAATTATTTAGGCTAGAAGAAGAAATCTGCTGTTAGTGCTATGAACCCTATTTTCCATGTTAAGATTCTTATTTCTTTTAGAATTGGCCTCGTTTTTCCAAACCCAGGGAACACATGATTGCATGATTGCAGTTAAGAATGCATCTTCATTTTGATAGTTTGGGACCATTTGATAGTTCGATAGATTGGGACCATTAGAGAGAGCTGCTCACTAGTTTGCAACTCTTCTTGGCCTTAGGCACACTGTGAAGTTGAAATTGTATTCCTGACAGTGTTCAGCAATTTATTTGCAAGCCAGCACTGGGGAGTGGTCCCTGCTTTCCTTTCCTAGGACCCTGTTTTCATTCTGGGCCTCAGAGCCAAGCCACTTATTCATGTTTAACTCTGATGATGATAACTGTCTCATATTTGTGATGGTCACTCAGCGTGCCTAGATTTGACAGGGTGTTCTATTTGGTTATGGATGTCTGTATTACATTTTCAATGATAGCATAACCTTTCCTTATAGATATTTTTATCTTTACACAAGTCTTTACAGTCTTATTGTTTAATGCATAATTCTTTGTACGCTTACTCAGGCATTTTGTATTCAGGACATACTGTAAATTAGATAAGCATAATATGTTTTGACTAACGTAATATGTTTCAACTTACAAAAGAAAATAGTAGAAATAAGAGTATAATTTCTTTAATTGGTATCTTGTGATAATAGGAGCACATTTTTCTTATGAAAGTTTCTGTATATATGAGAGACATTTTGCTAGTTTTAAGATTTTATTTTCTATTGTTTATAGTCATGAACATAACCTGTAAAGCAAGTATAAATAAAAATGTTTAAAATCTTTTTTCTTGCCCATTTCATAATTTTTAGTTAGCAATAGCAAAGAATAATATCATTAAACTCCAAGAAGAAAATCATCAATTACGAAGTGAAAATAAATTGATTTTAATGAAAACACAGCAGCACCTAGAGGTAAGTATAGACTGGTTGCAAACAGACTCTTGTGTCAGAAATTGCCACTTTTTGGAACTTTTGCATAGACTGGGTATTTCTTTGTTGTATTAGTAGTAGTGCTCATAGAATAAAATGTTTTGTTTTCTTCCTAGGTTACCAAAGTGGATGTGGAAGCTGAGCTTCAGGCATACAAGCATTCTCGGCAGGGGCTGGATGAAATGTGCAATGAAGCCAGAAGGCAGCTTCGAGATGAATCTCAGTTACGACAGGTAGATTATATTAAAGTTACATTAGCAAAAATAATAATAATGATAATTTACCCTTAAGCAAGCACCACTTAAAATCTCTTTCAGCCTTATCTTTCTTGGTGGGATGGCAATCCCATCCCCTTAATCCCCTCAAATTCTGTAAGCTCCCACTGTATCAGTGTTTTTTAAAGTGTTTTTAAACTGTTAAAATCTATGTTTGTGAAATGAATGGATTGTGACCAGCATTACAAACAATGAAATAGAATAGAATGATGTATTCAAATATTAATAAAATCATATTTAAAATTAACTTGTTTTTTAACCTATTAAATTATGAAATACAATACCTTCAGAAAAATACAAATGTATAGCTTAATGGATTATAACATAAATACCTGTGTAACTACCACCCAGGTCAAGAAGAGAGTATTGGCAGCCTTTCCATACCTTTTGCTGTTTGTCTTTAATGTTAGGAAACTGTTTTTCCTTCTGATGTAAAGTTCTTTAAGGGAAGAAATTAAAACTGTTTGTGAAATGGCATTTTTGAGTTATCTGTGGTCTTCACTTGTATGGACTGCTTCATTTCTTTGTTTACGGAAAATTAATACTGAGTTTATGAGGCATAAAAATATTAATTCTTGAACCAGTAGAATAGTGATATTTAGCAGAATCTAGAAAATGCTTTCATTTTAGCAAAATATGCATTTGAAAATATTTAGAATGTTATGTTGTTATAGGACCTGGTTGATTCCCTTTAGTGGGGCTTATAATTCAAAAGGAGTAGTCTACATATTGAATAGAAACTCTTTCTTGATGTCATTAACTGTTGTATATCTGATTTTGACATCCTGAAGTGGTGTGTGAATTGAGGATATGTTGACATTGCAGGATGTGGAGAATGAGCTAGCGGTACAAGTTAGTATGAAACATGAGATTGAACTTGCCATGAAGTTGTTGGAGAAAGATATCCATGAGAAACAAGATACTCTGATAGGCCTTCGACAACAACTAGAGGAAGTTAAAGCAATTAACATAGAGATGTATCAAAAGTTGCAGGTAAGGAATGTTCTTAAATTCTTGGAATTTCTTGTTATATAAAATTAAAATGAATATTTGTATGAAGAATTTGGTTTTTAAGAGATGAGCCTATTTTAACTATGCTGTATTGGTAATAAAAACCAGTGACTTTTTCTAAATGGAAGCTTAAGAAATCTAGCATTGAAAAAGGTATCAAAGAACAAATTTAAAAAATCACCAAATTAATTTCTTAAAAATATGAAGACTAAATCGTTTGGGAAAATTCAGTCTAAATATGCAAGACATTTTTTGTGAACTTCTTTATACAGTATAGTCCTGAGAAAGATTTAATTTTGATTAAAATGCTTTACTATAATAATCGTTATGAATTTTCTAATAAAATGACATTGCTGTTAAGTAGATTTCTTGCCAAAAGCCCTTTACAATTTAATTTGAAAAATAGCGTATTTTACAAGAGTTCATTCTGTTGTCTTCCAAAGATGTTGAAGGCTGAGTGGTTTTTTTTTCTTCATTACTTTTTAAATGAAGACTAGTAGTACTACTGCTTTATATCATACGAGTATTTTAATCTGCAAATTAACTCTGCTCATTTCAAAGTAATAATCCCATAAAAAATGGTAAACAAAACTTATAAATATTCAGGTTTAAAAATCAAAACCACTGTAGTTTTTCTATTTTTCTAAATAGGGTTCTGAAGATGGTTTGAAAGAAAAAAATGAAATAATTGCCCGACTAGAAGAAAAAACCAATAAAATTACTGCAGCCATGAGGCAGCTGGAACAAAGGTACAGCATTTCCAGTCTTACTTTCTTCTTTTCCTTTCTTTCCCCCTTTTCTTTATTCAACTCTGACACCTGCCACAAAAACCATTAGGGAAATTTAGATTAGGACACGGTTTTTTTTTAAGTCCAGCAGAGTTTTGCCTTTTTTGTTTTGGTTGTTGCATGGAATCAAGTTGCTTTATATTAGGCTGATTCATTTGAACTTGCCATTTTGTAGATTTTTTTTAAAAGGCCTAATATCAGCAATTTCATGTGGTTCAATGTATTACATAAAACAAATACACAAACAAAAACCTCGAAAAAAGAAAAATGAACAAAAACCCATGGTGGAATTATCCCTGATTGATTTCCATGCATATTGATTATCATATCCTTTGTCACTCCATCTCTTTATGTGAAATCAAGCTTTCTGAAGTTGGCAGTTTAGTTGTGTTCTTTGAGCTAGGACCCTCAACCCAACCCAAGAAATAATTTTGTTTAAATTGAATTGTTTTATATTGGCATTTTTCACTTTTATTGTTGGAAAATGTAATGTATTTTCATTGACCTGTCATGTTGGTGTCAACATATGTCTTATCATTGCTTTCTTTGAATCTACTTATGAAAAACATAACTATTAATGCTTTATTGACATGAATATTCTTTTATTGACATCCTCTTTCTTCTTTTTTCTTTTTTGTTTTCTTTATCCCCATTTTTGCATTTTGGACATCTTTATTACCTTTTTCTGTCTTTGATTTCTGTCCATTCCATTATGAAGTGACAACGATTTGTTAACTCAAACCAGGACAATTGCAATGTCATTGGTGAAAAGTGCCAGCAGTGACACTCAGGACCAGTACAAGCTGGTCAAAGATATATCTTTCTGAAAACCACTTGTATTTAAACAGACTAGAAGAGAATCAACAATTTTATAATATATTAAGTAGAAAAGAATTTATGCTACTAAGTATTCTAAAAGGGTATTAGGAACCCTATACACTTCTTGATCAACTGCTGTGGTAATACACTGCCATAAAGCAGAGTGGGTGCACTTGGATTTCCAAAAACACATTCCTCAAACCTTGTGCACAAGGGCTGGTTTGAGTATTGACCCTTTGGAGGTCAGGATTTTCAGATGCAGTTTTATCTTTTTAGCTACTTTTTGATGGAAAATATAAAAATTGTTTTAAAATAAGTTAACCTTTGGTTTCACAGTGTGTTGGCACAGATTTTTTTTCCCCATTGGCCCACTCTTTGCCTAATGGCTCCTTTACTGATTTTTTAATACATTTTAAAATAGTTTATAACCCAGATTGGCCATCGTCTTGTGCTTTAGCACCTCAATTTTCCAGTTCCCCTTAGCCTTCTTCAATGATAGCACAACTTCAAGGCCTACCTCACTCTGACTTCTATTTTAGTTTCTATAACTTGAGAGATAAGCTTGGGTCCCTTGTCTCCCCACCTTAATATTTTTAATTTAAATTTAGAGATGACTTGACTGTTACTCTCTTTTCCTTGGAAGTGGCATTTATACTTCTGAAATGTGTGAGGGTTGCCCCATTTGTATGGTTTTAAGGAAGAAAAGAAGAGGCAATTTTTTTGGTTAGTTGAATAGAAATTTCTCTTATGATTCCCTACAAGGGGTTAATGTCCCTTGAATACTTGGGAGATGTTTTCTTATAAAAACATTGAAGTTAAATCTAGGAAATCCTAGATGGCCATAGGAGGCAGGGAGTGGAGCTAAGCACAGGGAGAAGCAAGGACTTACAAATAAAAACAGAAAAAATGAAAATCACATTTTTAGCTAATTTTTAAAATTCAGTGATGAGGAACAAAAATGATCTCTAGAAAATGTTGCCAACTAGCACTAAATTCTTTTTAATCATAAAACACACACATACACACACACATACATACACAGCCACACAGCTTTGGCATAATGCGTAAAGATCCTATAGGGAGGACTTGGCTGTTATTTGAAGTAATTGCAGGTCTTTGCTCTTGGCCTTGTAGCACACTTGATTCCTGGCATACACATCCTAGCGTAATATATAACAATGTGGCTTCTTCACCTAGTGTAGACGTAAGTGCTGTGCTTTCATGGTTTTGTAAAAAGGCAGTCACGCACCTAATATACTTTGAAAGTTGATTCATTATGCTCTACATATGTGGTAAAGGCTGTGTTCTTTGCATTGTTAATTACGAACAAGAAATAAAACAAATTCGAAGATAGTATTCTGGGCATATTATATGTTATATTGAAAAAAATCACAAAACAATTTCTAGACATTGTGTGGCTCTTTCACGTTTGAGTTTGTGAGTTTTCCCCCAAACTTTGTTTTCATTTAGAAATGTTTCTATTTCCCCATTTTTCTTTTATTTGTCTTCTTCACCCTTTTACACCCTAGTTCTAGCCTCAGTTTTACCCAAAGTTGATTTGAATTACACCAGATTGCAGCAAGCGGAGAAGGCGCAAATGGAAGCTGAAGATGAGGACAAGAAATATCTACAAGAATGTCAGAGTAAATCCGACAGTCTGCAGAAACAGATCTCCCAAAAGGAGAAACAGCTGTGAGTATTTCATTCTTGGAAACAAATACTTGTATTAACGTGAGTCCCATCCACCTCCCTTTTTTTGCACATAAATTTAGTATACCTGTATTTTCATTCATTTAATGATGCCAGCTAGATTGTGGAGTTCACCTTAAAAAATAAAAAATTTAGAACACATAATTATGATAAAACTTATCATAATAAGTTTTTACTCCCTTTATTGTTTACAGAGCACTTTCAGCTGTCTTGCTATCTTCTTGCTCAAGGAGAATTTTGTTCTTTCTCCTATTGTTTAACATTAATCTGATGGCCATTATGTTTCTAGATACTGAGTATCATAGACCTTTGTAACTCTAAGGAATTTATATTATCAGAGAACATGATGTTTTCTGAGAACATTTTTGTTAGTACTTCATGTGATAGATCTATATATCACCAACTAGGAAGGATGTCAGTGTATGTCATTGAGTTGAAAAAAGCAAGTTGCAGACAGTTTACAGGTATGATCCCCTTTTCTATAAAATTAAAACCGTGCATATGTGTATATTTACATATACATAGGATAGAGTTTAAAGAATATAGATTCTGGGGAGTGATTATCTCAGGGGAGTGTTGGCAGATTGACAGGGGTATTTTAGTTTTTACTTTAGAAACATCAGTATTTTTTTCCCCCAGTAAATATGTACCACTTTTGCTATTAAAGGAAAACAACAATAGAAAATAGAGAGTTGTGTGTTATGTTTAACAGATCATTAAACAAGACCACATGCTATGTATGATGTATAACTTGCTAAGCTGCCTTTAGATCCATTGGTTGAGGTGTTGTTAAGTTCTTCTCTATCCTTGCTGATTTTCTGTCTGGTAGTTCTATCAATTATCAAGAGAGGATTTGTTGAAATATTCCAACTATAATTGTGGATTTGTGTATTTCTACTTTCAGTTCTCTCTGTTTTTGCTTCTTGTATTCTGAAGTTCTCTTGTTTAGTGCCTACCCATTTAGGATTGCTATGTCTTCTTGGTGAATTGACCTTTTCATCATTATATAATGTGCCTCTTTGTCTCTGGTAATTTTCTTTGCTCTGAAGTCTACTTTATCTGATATTAATATAGCCCCTCCTATTTTCTTTTAATTAATATTTTCATGTAATAAACAAAAGATTAATGTTTGCATTTTTCTATATTTTTACTTTCAGCCTAATCTTTATCATTATATTTGAAGTGAGTTTCTTATAGTTCATGTTTTTTTATCCATTCTGCCAATCTCTCTCTTTTTTTTTTGGTGAGGAAGATTGTCCCTGAGCTAACATCCCTGCCAGTCTTCCTCTATTTTATGTGTGGGACACTGCCACAGCATGGCTTAATGAGCGCTGTGTAGGTCCGTGCCCAGGATCCGAACCTGCAAACCCTGGGCTGCCGAAGCGAAGCATGCAGACATAACCACTACACCACTGGGTTGGTCCCACTGATCTCTCTTTTAATGATGTATTTTAGCCTATTTACATTTAGTGTAATTATTGATATATTAGAGCTAAAGTCTGCTGTTTTATTTTTTTCTCTGTTTTTCGTTTCCTTTATTTCATTTTTCCTGCCTTCTCATGGGTTACTTGAACATTGTTTAGAATTCCTTTTTGATTTATCTAAAGTGTTTTTGAGTGTATCTCTTCATGTAGATTTTTTAGTGGTTGCTCTAGACATTGTATTATTTATTGGCAAATTTTCGTTGTCCTGGTATCAACATTTTATTACTTTGAGTGAAGTGTGAAAGCCTTACCTCTACTTAGGTCTTTTTATCCTCTCCCTTTTATTATATAATTTGCTTAAATATTTCCTCTGCATAACACAGTAGAGATTACCACATCAGACAATGTTATAGTTTGTACTTCAACCATTAAACAGAATTCAGAAAACTCTTTATTGTTCTTTCTTCATTCCTGATGTTCCAAGTTTCTTTCTTTGTGTTTGAAGAACTTCCTTTAGCCATTCTTTAGGGTAGGTCTGTTGGCAACAAATTCTCTTAGTTTTCTTTGATCTGAGAATGCCTCGATTTCACTTTCATTTCTGAAGATACTTTCAGAATATCCGTAGAATTCTGAGTGGACAGTTCTTTCAGCACTGGAAAAGTGCCACTTTCTTTTGGTCTTCCGAGTTTCTGATGAAATATAGACTGTCATTTGAATCATTATTCCTCTAATTACTCTCATGATTCTTTCTTTGAATTTATCCTGTTTGGGCTTTGGTCAGCTTCTTGAATCTTTAGGTTTCTCTTTGCCAAATTTGGAAAATTTTCAGCTGTAATTTCTTCAGATATTTTTTCAGCTCCACCTGCTTTCTCCTCTCCTTCTGGGACTCTGATGACATGAATGTTAGTTCTTTTTTTAATAGTTCCACAGGTCTCTGACACTTCATTTTTTTTTTTTTTTTTTTTTTTTGAGTCTGTTTTCTCTCTGTTGTTCAGACTAGGTAATTTCTGTTGTTGTATTTTGAAGTTCATTCATTTTTTTCTCATCATCTTCATTCTCTTATTGAGCCCATCCAGTGAGATTATTGTATTTTTCAGTTCTGCGATTTCCATTTGACTCGTTATATTTCCTTCCTTCTCTCCTTTCTGTCTCTCTTTCTTTCTTTCTTTTTTGCTAAAACTTTCTCTTATTTGTTTCAAACATGTTCTTAATTGGTCATGGGAGCATTTTTATCACAGCTGCTTTAAAATTCTTGTCAGATAATTCCAACATCTGGAATTCCATGTTGGAATTATCTGACATGTTAGCATCTGTTGATTGTTTTTTCTTGTCCAAGTTGAGATTTTTCCTGAGTTTTAGTATGACAAGTGTTTTTCAGTTGTATTCTGGACATTTTGGGAATTATGAGACTGCATCTTATTTAAGTCTTATATTTTAGCAGTCCTCCACTGAAACCACACCAGCAGGGGAATGTAGACACTGACCCTTTATACCAAGTTGGGGTAGAATCCCAGGACCATCTGGGATGGGATGGGATGGAGAAGGGTGCCTAACTACTGGGCAGGGATTGAAATCTATGCTTTCCACCAGTCTCCACTGACGTTGTGGAGAGGGGAAATGGTGCCTTGTTCCCATCAAGTGGGAATGGAAGTCCAGGCTTTCCCCTTGGTCTCTGCTGACACCATCCTAGAAGAGAGAGAGAGAGATACCTTATTACTACCAGGCAGAGGAGGAAATCTACGCTCCCCACTTGGCCTTTGCTGACACTGTAGGGAGGGGAGAAATGCCTTGTTACTGATGCATGGGGATAAAAGTGTAGGCTCCCCGTGTGGCCTTCTCTAACACCATAGGGGTAGATGAGGAGAGTCATCTCATTGCTGTTGGGTGGTGGTGAAAGCCAGGCTCTGCATTTGGCCTTCTCTGATACCACCACAGTGGAGATTGTGAGGAACACCTCATTATTGGTTAGTGAGGGTGGAAATCTAGGCTCCCCACTTGGCCTTTGCTGACAGTGGTTGGAGGCCCATTGGTTTTTTCCTCTGGTGTTTTGCTGATAGGGCATTTATTGTCACAAAGGTTTCTATCATAATTAGTTTAAATTAAAACAAATGATTTCAACTCACTAACCTGTAATTTATTTCATAATTATCAAGTGTCCCTGCCGCTAGGCTGCCTCTTCCTAGCTCTTTGGCAAGAGAGAATAGGCTTTTCTTGGGGCTTTTTTCGTCTATGCCCACTGCTGTTTGTGGGTTACGGGCTTCTTTAACACCCAGTCTGAGCTATATAGGAGGCAAAAAGAAGCTTCAGGGAACTCATCACCATGTTATTCCTTGAGTTCTGGGGTTCCCAGTTGGTCTGCCTTCTTCTCTCCCCTTTCAGAATCTTCTTATGTTTGTTTATATATAATGTCCAGGGTTTTTAACTGTGCTTAGTTGGAGGGATAGGTAGAAATGTCTTTTACTCCATCTTGTCCAGAACCAGAATTCTAAGTTCCTTTTAAATCTACCACAAAAAATAACATTTTGAGGGCCGGCTCCGTGGCTTAGCGGTTGAGTGCGCGCGCTCTGATGCTGGCGGCCCGGGTTCGGATCCCGGGAGCGCCCCGAGGCACCACTTCTCCGTCCAGCGCGGGGCCGAGTCCCACGTACAGCAACTAGAAGGATGTGAACCTGTGACATGCAACTGTCTACTGGGGCTTTGGGGGGAAAAAACTGAATAAATAAAATCTTTAAAAAAAAAAAAAATAACATTTTGAGAAATTGTTATATAGAATAAGGCTTTAGGCCAGGGAATATTACTTTTTTTTTTTTTTAATAGGAATTTTATTTATTTATTTTTTTCCCCCAAAGCCCCAGTAGATAGTTGTATGTCATAGTTGCACATCCTTCTAGTTGCTGTACGTGGGATGGGGCCTCAGCATGGCCAGAGAAGCGGTGCGTCGGTGCGCGCCCGGGATCCGAACCCGGGCCACCAGCAGCAGAGCGCGCGCACTTAACCACTAAGCCACGGGGCCAGCCCTGGGGAATATTACCTTGGTTGAAAACTTGCATCATTTGTACATTGTGAAACTAAAACCTCTCTCCCCAAAAGAAAAGCACTCAGCAAACAAACATTTTCTCTTTAATTTTAAGACTATGACAAAAGGACAGGCAGCGCTTTCAGGTCTCCCTTGTCAACAAAAAATCACACAGAGCATTTAAGTTGTCCAGTTTATTAATGGTGCCAAGGGCTTTGTTCTTTAAGTTCCTGTGCCCTGCCAAATGAAAAACTCGAAAAGCCAGACTGGAACACTTTGCCAGTCACTAGAGTACAATCTTGAAACCCTGGTATTCTGTTACTGAATCACTTTTCTAGAGTTTGACAAAAGTTAAGTAAGATAAATCTGATAATATTTCCTGCAATGGTGCAGCTATTTGATCTCTGCCCAAAGGGTGACCCAAATAATGCTACAGGGACCTGGCTGTTCCCTATTGGGCTAACCTACTCAGTAAGACTTGGGTACAGCTGCAGAGAAATGTCTGTCCCTGCTGAAACCGTGAAAGTAATTTTGTCTCTCAGTTGGTGCCGTTTGGTGGAACATGAACGTGTTAACAATTTGGAGACCAGGGGAATCCCTGATGGCTCAGAAAAACTGGAGCTGTTTCTAAAGAAATGCTCAGTTGGGACTTGTCGAAGAAAAACAAATTCCATTTTTCCCCTAAAATGGAAATAACTTTATTGGTTTCTGATTATGAAAATATTACATACTGTTGACCAAATGTAAGGAAATATGGAACAATGTGAAGAAAATAAGAATTAGAACTTTTTTTAACATTTTGATGAATATCCTTATTTTTTTTTTGGTATGCATAGATATTTTTTATATTTTTTAGAAAGAAGATCATGCTACATGCTCTTTAGTATCTTGTTTATTATATTTACTACATCATGGACATTGTAACATCAATTAATGTAGGTCTATACCATCATATCACAGTTAACCTAAAGGAATCCTTTAACCTGAAAAATTGTGCTTTATTGTTTGAGTTGGCGTATCTTTGATTAGTAGTGATAGCCTTTTGTATTTCTTTATTTTGTGAATTTGCCAGTTCATATCATCTATTTTTTCCTCTGGGGTGTTCAGCTTGTTAATATTTATTTGTAAGAGCTCTTTATGTATTTACTCTGGGTCTTTCACATATAGTGAAAATGTTTCTTAACTTTATTGTTTATTTTTAAACTTTGTTCATAGTGTTTTTTTTCATTTAGACATGAAAAATTTTTACATAGTTATATTTTTCCTTTATAGTTTCTGCCTTTGGTAGTCAACATGTGTTTCGACAATATATTTATAATAACTTAAAAACCAAAAATTTTTCTTTGCTTTTTCACTCAGTTTTTTCCGATTCTGGATGATGAGGCCCCTCGACAAGGCACTCTGTGCTTTGGTTAGTTCAGTGTTAGTAACATACTCTTGTCCCTCTATATTCCTTTTAAATTTGTAGTGAAATAGTATTTATCAACAATTTGTAAGTTCCATTTTGAGGTCAAGCCATGGGTATCTTCTCTTCAACCTGAATTATAAAATCTAAAATTTATTTACTTCACTGAAAAATAATGTGGCTGTAGCTGGAAATGCTAACTTTATGAGGAAACAATTAAAAGTAATCAAAAGATTAATACAAAAATATTAAAATAATACTGTGATATGCTCAATATTATGATATAATGTTGTAATTAAAATATAAAATATTAGAAACTCTAGTATTGCTTAATGTATGCCTCACCCGTTATACCTACTTATGAGCAATAATTATCGAAATGATTATTTTTGGTCATCCTAAAGTGTAGGAATTTGACTACTTTTGTTTTGCCAGCTAGCACTTAATGTTGGAGTGATGAAATAGTGCTTTCAAATGTGAACTGGGGCCGCCCCCATGGCTTAGTGGTTAAGTGCGCAAGCTCCGCTACTGGCGGCCCGGGTTTGGATCCCGGGCGCACACCGACACACCGCTTCTCTGGCCATGCTGAGGCCGCGTCCCACATACAGCAACTAGAAGGATGTGCAACTATGACATACAACTATCTACTGGGGCTTTGGGGGAAAAAAAAAAGGAGGAGGATTGGCAATAGATGTTAGCTCAGAGCCGGTCTTCCTCAGCAAAAAGAGGAGGATTAGCATGGATGTTAGCTCAGGGCTGATCTTCCTCACCAAAAAAAAAGTGAACTGGCAATTCCAGGCAGTGTGGATATTCCCCCACTGTCTCCTTGGTCTTGGATCTGTCCTGTAATTGGTCAGCTTCCAACAGTAATCTGCAAAATAGCACTTTGCACCAGGGCTGATTTTTCTGCTACTAATGTTTAATTGATTTAGTGGTTGCTGTAATTCTTAGAACAGTACATTTCAGTTTGTTGTAAAATTTTTCATATGGCACAGAAATATAAATAATTAAAACCCCACGTTTTTCTCTTTGGTTCCATTTCCAAGATGTAACCAGTTTTAATAGTATGGTGTGCCCTTCTAGGCATTTTCTATGCTTACACAGCATTTATGTATACAGAATTAGTAAATGACATACATTATTGTTTAGCAAGGAGTTTTTGTGGTCAGCAAATATACTGATACTTTGGGATCAGAAAGCCCTGTGCTGCTGAACTTTTTTACCAAAAAATATTTATGAAAGAAAATACCTGAAGGAAATGCATTACAAGGGTGAAAGTAATTAACTAAAAAGATGCTCTTAAAGAATACACACAACTGTCGTGTGAGAAATAGCACTGAGCTTCTGTGTGTTGTTTGTCATTCAAGGGTGCAACTGGAAACCGATTTGAAGATTGAGAAGGAATGGAGGCAGACTTTGCAGGAAGATCTTCAAAAGGAGAAAGATGCCTTATCTCATCTTAGAAATGAGACCCAACAAATCATTAGTCTTAAAAAAGTAAATGGTGGTAAAACTTTAAAAATTACATCTTGATGAAAGTTGTTATTTAAAAAGAGAATCAAACCATAATTTACGTTTATACCAAGGAAACAGAATATACTAATCATCTTTAAACTATGGTACGGAGATTAAATGAATGGAAAATAGTTGATAGTTGATAGAGCAGCTAGAAAGAGCTTTGGACATATAGTTTTGTTTTTTATAAAAAGCTAAAGGATATGTGTTCCTAATTAATGGTATGTGTATAACGTGGATTTTCATGTTCTTTCTTTTAAATTGGATTTTCTTTTATTGTTTTGAAGGAGTTCCTTAACCTCCAGGATGAAAACCAGCAGTTGAAAAAAATATATCATGAACAGGAGCAAGCTCTTCAAGAACTTGGCAACAAACTTAGCGAGTAATTTCTCTTTTTTCCTTCAACTAAGTAGTCTTTGTGTTTTATAAAGGTATGAATGTGCCAAACCAAATAGTTAGAAAAGTTTAAATGTAGAAAAGAAAGATATGACTATTAAAGAAAAACAAAACCAGACAAAAACTTAAAGATTAACAAATAAGACTGTAGGTTGGAGAGATTTTGTTAAAAGTTATGTTCACTTTAGTAGATCTTAGCTCTAAATGTTTTCCAGTAGATAAAAGCTACGACTCTTGTTTAATTTCTTCAACTCAGAGAATTCAGAAGTTCATTTAATATATTTTTCTCAGAATGACAAGTCAAATTTTCAAAATATCTGGAGAGATCTTTTTCAGACTATTTTGAGGAGGAGCCACCAGTACTGTGAGAAGTGGAGGGTGTTTAATGCCATCTGGAATTAGGGCTTAACTTCATACTGTGTGGTTGGTTCTATTGCACTGAAATGTTGTTGGGTTCCTATAAAGACAAGAAGCAGAAGTGGTTTTCTGTCTTACATTTTCCTCCTTGTTCCGTGTGGTTTGTGTTTTGGGTTAGCAGCTTCATCTCTGTGCTCTGATTGAACATATTGCCAAGTATCTGTGGTAAACTCTGGAAGGTTTAATTTAGTATTGAATGTACCACTGCCACATTTAAAAAAAAGAATAATGTCACTTTTTTTAAATGCAGAAATGTAAAAGAAAGCTACAATGACCATAATCCTATCACCTGAATAAATCCCTTTGATATTTTATATGGTTAGAAAATTCAAATAGCACAAAAAGGTATAAAATTAAAAAAAAAAAATTGCTTCATTCCTCCCAAGTATCAATCCCTAAAAGTTAGCTAACCTCAGAACAAACCTATATGTGAGCATCTCATCATAAATATAAATATGATTAGTTTTATATATGTGCATATATGTCTTTTGTAAAAGTTAAACACAGTAGAAATCATAGTAGAATAGAGATTTAATCGCTAAAGATGCGATTCCATTAAGAAGTCATGAGACCAGTTTCCACGGGCATAGGAAGGAGTAGTTCAATAGAACCACAAAAGGAAATATCAGCTCTCAAAAAGATAAAACTGTTTTTGTTTCTATAAATTCAAATAACAATTTGTAGGGCC